AACCAAGCATGGATAAGAACACTAAAGGATTTGCTGATTGATTGGATATTGGGAATAGGAAAAGAAGGAGTCTTTGAAGTCAAAGCTAAATAAGGGTTCAAGTTTGTTTCTGAGTATACCAGCTGGATGATTGGGGTAATTCAGTTATCTCCCTCCACCTAAGCTATTACTTTTCTCAGACAGAGGTGGTCTGAGCTGTGTATCTCATGGTGCTGAGGTGGATAAATGTAATCCAATGGATTGCCCCCAATTCATCTGATTGGCCAGTTCTGTTGATGTTATTGTTAATCATTTTGTAATTTCTACTGAGGTTCTTAATTCAGATATGCTGCCAGAATCACTTAAAGATCCACATTGGCTATTTCATCACTCCTCCTAAAATCTCAACTCATTATTTTTGCTACGTAATTCCTTCAAGAATGCAGAAGTGCCCTGCTGACATATAGGCAAGGATGAATTACAGTCATTTCTAAATGAAAAGAACTGGTGTAATGCATTCTGTTACCTGATGGTTTGTATTCCCTTAAAAGCTTTGTTAAACTGAGGCCTACCTCTACTTCTACTAAAACAACCTGAGATTCTGCTGTTTTATTGTATTTTTACTTTGGAGGGAGAGAATGGATGTTGGTAAGATACTCTCCCTTGTTCTCAGGTTTTATATTCACTCTGAGTGTGCATGTGAGTGCATGCGCGTATACACACACACACACACACATACACACATACACATGTACTTGCCAATACTCAGCTTGAACTCAGAGCATTAGGCTCTTGCTTAGTTTTCACTAAGGCTGGTGCTTTGTCATTTGAGGCATACCTCATAGCCTTGAATGGAAAAAATATTTCAACTCAGTCTAGTCAGATTAGCAGTTACAGGAAATCAACATAAATAGTGGCACGGAAGGGAAACGAGGGAGGAACCATCATGCTGAATATAAACTAGTCCAACCACTATGGAATCAATAGGAAGGTTCCTCCAAAAACTGAATGCATACTCACCTATAATCCTACCACACCACCACTGGGCATATACCAGAAGGCATGTAAATACACAAGAAAGACACCTGCATACCTAAGTGGATTGTAGTGCTGTACACAATAGCAAAATGGTAGAATCAGCTCAAGTGCCCAACAACTGATGAGTAGATAAAACATAATACATACCAGGCAAGGACTATCAGTAATATGATACATATATACCATGGAATATTGCCCACTCTGTTTTTACTTACCAGAGAATGTTAGCCATCAAAAGAGGTAGTATGTAATTTGCAGCTAAGTGGATAGAGCTGATGATCATCCTTTTGACAAAGTTCTTTTTTTTTTCTTTTTGTTTATGTGGTGCTGAGGAATCAAACCCAGGGCCTCATGTACGCAAGGCAAGCGCTCTACCACTGAGCCACCTTCCCAGCCCCCCTTTTGACAAAGTTTTAAATAAGATCACATATAGTTGATGATGCCTAGAAACTCCCTCTTACTCTTTTCTGTTTAGGAGTTGTCTGCTCAGTAAAGTAGTTTTGTCTGGAGTGAAGTGTCTTCTGAAATGAGGTCTGGCTGGATATTTCTTTAACAATATTTAATAATAATAGTCTAATCACCACCATATTGTGTATAATACCGACCTACCTTGATTTTTTCCAGCAGGCTTTAAGTGGCAGGACCTTTGCAAACATAATATCACATCTCATTCCTTGCCTCTTAATTCCCTTCTCTTAAATGGTATGGCTCTCCAGGCTCCAGTTCACCCAACTCAGCAGCTCTGATGGAGATGCTGTGAGATCACACAGGTCTCTGAACCCTGCTTGCCATTGGCTCAGGCTGGACCAGACAGCACTGCTCAGCTAAGCTCCATAGTGAATAGTTCCACTTGTGTGTACACACACATACTCAGCAAAGCAGGTTAGCATTGTAGTATTCCCTAAACCTGTCCTATGCACTGTACTTACTATGTGTTGAATATCACGTGTGCAGTGTTCCTGAATCATTTATCAAACAATAATGCATCCACAAACAACCAGTTCCCCTAAAACCTGAAGACCTCTAATATGAGCAACAGTTGCGAACCCTCTGCTGGATATTTATTTTTCTGCAGTTTGTGAAACAATTGGGGTCCTTTCTGAAAAGGAGATTCAAGTACAAACCTGCACTATTGATTATCTCATAAAAGCCACACTATGCCCCATTAGGAAAGAATAGCATCAAACCATAGAGACAGCTCCAGTGGCTCCTTGCAGTCCTGGGTGGATTAAAGGCTGAATTTCCTGGTGTAAAATAAGGTAACGTTTGCAAATAGCCTGTGTCTGTGAATCATGGTAATATCTAATAAAATGCAAATGCAATGCGAATAGTTGGTACGTTGCATTTTTAAGAGAAGAATGTCAAAGAAAAACTGTACATGTTCAGAATAGGAGTAAACTGTTCTCTAGTATTTCCTATTCTTCATTGGGCTGAACATGTATATGTATGGCATAGCAAGAAGGGTATAAGAAAAAAATCAATATACAATCCTTATCACACTATTATTCAACCCCTAATGGTACACTTGTTATAATACAAACATTGTAAAGATGAAGCACAAGCCACCTGTCAAGACAATGTCTACCTCTTATACTTTGGTATTGTAAACTAGTTCCTTCCAGCCCCCCTCTTTGTTCTTTTGAAAGCATGAGAAGTTATAGTTTCAAGAAAATTTTCTAGAGCTAAGCTTAGAAAGGAGTACACCCCTGTTGCTGACCAGGGTATGAGGGAACTTTGCGTGGATTTCCTTCACCAGCCTGGGCTGCAGAAACCCTGCTTCTCAAGTCTGTCATCCTAGCCAATTAGGAGGCTGAGATCTGAGAATGGAGGTTCAGAGCCTCCCTTGGCAGCAAGGTCCCTGAAACCTTTATCTCCATTTAACAACCCAGATGCCAATAATAGAGCTGTGATTCAAGTGGTAGAGCACTAGCCTTGAGCAATCGGGCTCTGAGTTGAAGCCCCAGGACTGGCACAAAAATATTAAAGACCAAAAAAATAGAGGAGGAAGTTTGGGTTTTGTATGTCTGGGGAAAGAAGTGTAATTATTTTTCTTCTTTACACTTTTCTGTATTTTCTCCCATATTTGATGCTGCAAATGCAACTTTAAATATTCAGAGCAATGTCATAAGGACTATTATGTTTCTTCTTTAACATCTTTAGGTAGTTTTATAATGTCAGTTTATGGGTGTAATATATCTTGATCAATGTCACCCCTTTTATCATCTCTGCATCTCTCTCAACCCTACCCGTCTCTTACAGTTACCTGCTTCCATTTTCACCTATGTGCCTTGAGTATTATGACTGTGTTTTCCCATCCTTCCTTTCCCCATTCATCGGGACCCTCTCCTAACCTGTCTCCCCCTACAGCACCTGTGCCATCTTCCTGCGGTTCAGCCAGCTCATTGATGATTTCAATGCTCCACAATGGCTCCTTGTTATTGGTCATGGTTCTTAGTAGACAAAAAATTGTTTCTAGCAAGTTTCAGCAGGAAGACTATTTTCCTTCACATTTTTCCCTCATAGGAATTGGTGAAAATTACTTTCAATGAGAAATAGAAATCAGAATTTTCACTTTCATGTAATTATTTCTTGACTGGATTCTTCTCTTTGACCTTTCGATATGATTCAATGTTTTTAGTTTTAAACTACCATTCCTCTATACATCATCATAATATGCTTTTGTACACATACCAACCATTCTCTACCACCTGACAGCTACTAAATTGCTTCAGGAGTTTCAGTGTTTGTTTTCTAGTCCTTTCCATCCTATAACCCTTCAACTCCTTCAATCTGATTTTTGTCTCCTTATTCCCCACAATTTGACATTCATGTGGCCAGGTGATGATAAACAAAATGGCTATGTTTTAGTTGTTTGTCATTTTGTGCTGCTGAGATACAGGTCAGTGGTGACTGTGTCCTCAGATTTAAAGCAGGGGTGACTAAGGTGAGTCCCGTGACTGTTCCAGTAGGGTGATGACTCTCGTTGAGGTACTAGGGGATGCCACCACACCTTCTGTTGAAGGAAGACAGACACAGTGGAAGAAGAAACCAAAGAGTTGGGTTTACAAATTTTCACACCATTATCATCTTACTTTAATATCCTGATCACAGTACCCAAAAGAAGATGCATGAAAATAAGGAGCAGGCTTGGTAAATGGTCCACATTCAGTAAGAATCCTTGATTTATTCGGAAAATAAAGTCTTTCATATTTTCCTCTCTACTGTTAAATGACAAAACCATTGCAAAAGTGCAGGGTGCAAATGTGCTCCTTGTTAAGAGAAAAGTCATTAGCTTGGTCAACAGAAAGTGCGAAATAAAAAATGGTGAAATAGTTTATCCTCAGGTCATGTAATGCTGCCTATTGTTGCCTGTTCTAAGTTTTTAAAGAAATTGCATTTCTGTGATTTCACTAAACTACATCTGGAGGAAAGGTGTATTTAGGGTTGTGGCTCCAGAGGTTTCAGTGCACAAGCTCTTGACTATGGTGCTGTGGTGGGCAGAACATGATGGTGGGTGTCTTATGGTAAACTAAGTTCATCACCTCATGGGAGCTAAGAAGGGTAAAGAGTGTAGAGGTGGCGGTCACTATTGCTGCCTCCCTGCTCTCCCCCACCCCGCCCGCACACATGTCCTCCTTGCCTCCCGCCGCACATAATATTTGGACATAACTTCCTCGTGGGTTTCACCTCTTAAAAGCTTCATGAGCTCTTCTTAGCACCAGGGCTGGGCACCAAATCTCAATTTTATACATGCCTTTTGGGAACATTCATTCACACCACACCCCTTGAGAACAAAGTGGGTGTTTGAATAATATAATACTACTTCTCAGAAACATTTTGGCCTCAGACATCAAAGACATTTTGCTCCTTTACCTTGTATGGTTTTTTGAGGCATGAGTATTTACTAGAAACAAAATTTCTAAATATACTTTCATCATTATATTCATGTGCATTTATACTTTATTTGTATTTCTCTTTCACAGTATAAAAAAATTGTATCCTGCTACACATTAGGAGAGGATGATGGGGGATGAAATTAGGAATATGTTGGTAAGTATCTTTATAGTATTGGCTAAGTTTCCTGTACAGTGGTGTTCATTACTGCATGACTTGTAGCTACAAACAACTGGTTACCCCTTATTTTAGACAATGAAAGACTTCAGATTATGTTTCGTTCTTTGCATGTCTCAGCCCTGAAAGTCACTGTTTTCTGTTCCTCCATCTTGTAGCTTTGGTCTCTGGGTCTGGAGTTTTCAAAGGTTATCCCAAACCGTGAACTAATGACTCTTACAATTAACCGGAACAGTAGACTTCCAGTTCATCCATCATCCATTTCCAAAGCCATAGGAAAATCATTTCCTCTCTGATGACAGTGAACAATTTCATGCCCTGACTGGATTCCCTGTGCCTGTTTGCCTGTCTGGGTTTCTGTTTGTGTGTCTGTGGATGTGTGTTCATTCAGAAAGACATCTGAGACAAATAGCCACCCTCAGCCAGCTACTTGCCATGAAAAATATGGATAGAGAAGAAGTCACAGATGGTAACTTTGTCGTTTGAGTCTTGTAGAGGATGTGGTTGAAGTTTCTCTCCTTGATCATTCTGATCTACATGAGCCATGAATGTCCATGTGAATTCTGTCAGGATCACCTATGCTGAACTATGCACTATTTTTTTGCTCCCTTCCTAAAAACTTGGTGATGCTTCCCCTGTGGGTACATATAAGAAGCATGCTTTGTTTCTAAGTGGAAGTTTGGGGAATGGAAATACCGCAGAACACACAAAGTTATCAGTGATCAAATTTCACCACACTTTAGAAAATAGGCATTTCTAAACACCACACCTCTCATTATCATGATTTTGAGCCAAGACTGTGACATACTATTGTTTCCCCCCCTTCCGCCCCCCCCTCCCCAGGGGGGAGAAAAGTACAATGTTACTGTGATCAAACCTGATGATGTGAATAGTAGAAAAGCTCTGCAACTTAAAAACAAACAAAACAAAATCAAAAAAGGAAGTCACATTTGCTCACGATAGTTTCATTTATTTGAGAAGTTACAATAAGTGTATGGATAATTGGGAGACAAGCTTATTGTTTGTAACAAAATAAAACAAATGCAGTGATGTATAGGGTACCTCTAAATGCTTTGAACATTCTGTCTTTACAAAACCACAACTGACTGACCACTCTAGCCAGTCTTACTAAATAACATTGCTTGAAGCACCAACCTATATCACTTATAAAAACTATATACCATACAGTGGATTGTAACAAATACTATTTTCTGTTTAATAATTAGAAATTGGATCTAATTGTCAGCTCACATCAACTTGCTTGATTCTTTGTGCCTTAGGTCTGTGACTACAAAAGATGATTTTGGTGTCTTTCATTCTTTATTTCCAGCCCCTCTTCATCTTTCCTTCCTCCTTTGTTCCATCATTCCTTTCCTCTGACTTTACTTCCTTCCTCTTCTTCTTTCCTCCTTCCTTCTTTGCTTTGTTCCTGTTTCTTTTTCTTTCCCTCCTCGCTTCCTATCTTCCTTCCTTCGTTCCTTCCTTCCTTCGTTCCTTCATTCCTTCCTTCGTTCGTTCGTTTGTTCTTTCCTCCCTTCCCTCCCTCCTCCCTCCCTTTTCCTATCTTGCTTTCTTTTTCCTTTCCCTTCCCTCCCTTCCTTCGTTCCTTCTTTCGTTCCTTCCTTCCTTCCTTCCTTCCTTCCTTCCTTGCTTCATCTTTCTATCTGTCTGAACTGGAATTTGAACTGAGGAGCCTTGTGCCTATATTGCTGCTTCATCATCTTTCAACCTAAAATTCTTTAACTTGATTTTGTTATGCTGTATGTTATATTATTTTCTCTGTTATTTCACATTATCTGGATCTTCTCTATTCTCTTCTTCTCACCCTGCTTTCTATCAGCTTTATTCCTGTACATCCTCCTGTTTTTCTCCTTTGCCTAGTTTTGTTCTCAAGTAGTATTTTTTCCAACGAATTTAATTCCCATTCTTCATAACTATTATCTTATTTCATGGAATATTACCTTACGTCCTGTTTTCATCTACTCTTTTTGGAATTGGGGAATAATTACTTTTGTCTGGGGGCTGCTCTTTTTATTTCCATGGCTGCTTTGTCTGTCAGCTATGGAATGAAGACGGTTCATCACCCACTAAGAAAACACTAGACGACATAACCCTTGAAATGTTCATTTCTCACACACACACACAGATTTCATCAAGTCCAATTGGAGAAATTCCATTCCAAAGAATGATTCCAAGAATGAGGAACATATACAAATACAATGCACCTACCTCTGCCTTCCATACAGCCTGGATTATAGGTGTATCCCATATGCTTAGTTTCCCCATGGAATTGATGGGGTCCTTCCATGATGTGCATGTAAACCTGAGTGACTTAGACATGCCTGTGCATAATTAGCTTTTACTTGTGTTCCATGTGATCTCACATCACATCTATAGATAGCCCTTTGCAAGACAGCCCAATGCAAGATTTGTCATAGAAGCAGAGAAGAAAAAGATGCTCATGGAAGAGGAAGACAGATTTCTTCAGTCAAACGGCAGAGGAGGTTAGAGGCTATGAAATGAGCTATTGTGTATTCAGAAATAGCCAGGGATTCTTAGGAGCCTTCCATCTTTAAGACAGAAAAGCAAAGCAGTATGGCCAAAGAAATGAGCCTCAGGTTTTTCTGAACCTATCCATGTTCTGGTGTTGAGCAGATGGCAGGTCTGGAGAGATCTCCGTTAGAAGTAAGGACACCCTGACAAATCGGAATTTGTGGCTCTGTGTTTGTGGCAGAATTCTTGTCTTCTGCAAGTGAGGAGTCAGTCATTTCCTGTAATTTTGTGACTAAAAGCTTTCTGGTCATGGTCCCAGGAATGCTTCCACCCATTCTTTATCCAAGTCCTTACTCTCAGGAAGGGTTATGAACACTATATTTACTCAAGTCCAATAATGCTGAATATTCTCTCGATTGCTCAAGTCCCATTCCAAGTGTCCAGTAGCCACCTGTGACTATGGGGTTGCAGAGCATTCCGGGGATGTTAGTCACAACAGAAAGTCCTACTGCACAGCAGTGTGCAGATAGAGCTGGCTAGCCTCCTCAACCTATTGTTTCTACCTCCTGTTTCCACATGTAGCACACAAAAGCAGCTCACAGACTCAGGCCAAAACCACCACTTTTGGCATCTTCAGTGGCTGTGACCAAACACCTGACCAAAGCCTGTAAAAGGACAAAAGGATCCTTTTGGTCCAAGGCTTTATGGATTTCCATCCATAGTCACTTGGCCACCTTCCTTTGAGCCTGTGTGGAGGCAGAAATCATGACAAAGCTATTGAGCTGGTGATGGACAGGAAGCAGAAACGACATAATGGCAAAGCCAAGGTCCCAACAACCCTTCCCATGGGGATCCCATGACTTCACTTCCTTCTGCTTCTTAAGTAACACCAGAGGCTAGTGGCCAGCCTTGAGCACATGGGCTCTGAAGCAATTTCAGTTGCAGGTATTCATAGATATTGGATGGAGCTCAGAAAATTGTATGCTAACATTCCCTGCAGATGTAAACCTCCCAATGATAGAAAAGTGATTGACAGAATGCCTGGAGTCCCAGTGCCTGTAAACTGTGAGACTGGATCTCTCAAGGTCTTTGGAAAGCAGGACACAGTTTAAGGATAACATCCTCTTGCCCATGATGGTGAGGCAGAGATCTCACAGGCCTTTCACTGTAGCTGCCATTGTAGTCTACTAAAATTAGGAGTCTGAACTGAGCAATTTGTCCTTTCATTTTGCAGCCTGACTTTGAAGTCTCTGTCCCTGATGACCTCTGTCCACTATATTTCAGTGATTTCAATGGGAACAGAAAGTGAAAATTCCTTGGAGATTACTTCTCAGTGATGCAAGCTAAAGTAAGGAAATGAACTCTATCACTTGGGGGGTAAGGGGAGTCATGAGGACAAACACTGGGAGAACCGGAGGGAATGGGTGACACTTTTGAAAAGAAACGGACTCAGGGCCTAACTGTAATCCCTCTGTATTTCACCTTTACAATCAAAAGAATCATGTTGATCTCAGAATGAGTGTGAAGCTCAGCCCTTACCTAGAATGATAAAGAAGAAATGGGACAGATAGCTCCAAGCAGGAATTCTTGTATTGTGTACAATGAGGAAGGAGTTAATGAAGTGTGTGGCCCACACATCTCACAACTGAAGCACAAAGGTTTCTGTGTTGAAACCCCAGTATTTCTTCCAGTCCATCTGAAGCTGTGTCTTCAGAAAAGCTGGGGTTGCCCCAAGGACATTTGAAAGGGAAGAGCTTTTTCTGCTTCTCATTGTGAACATGAGACCCAGCCCTTCAGTCTCATGGCCTTGGTCCTAAGGCATGGATTGGAGCTATGCATTATCCCTCCCTAACCAATCTCTTATCCATCCCCTCACATCCTCCTTCCACCTACCCTGTGCCCGAAAAACATCACATGAGGTTGGAAACATGACTCATGCATGCAGTCCCAGCTAGTGTGGAGGCAGCCATTGGGAGGATCACAGTTCAGGGCCAGGCTGAATAAAACTGTTAGCATGACCCCATCTCAAACAGTGAGCTAGGTGTGGTGACATGCACCTGTGAGTTTATCTCTGTGGTTGACTGCAGATTCAAAGGATCCTGGTCTAACCTGAACTAGGACAAACCAGGAGGTGCTATGACAGATTTGCCTGAGAGAAGAGTAGGGAGTAAATTACTGGTGTGTTGTGTCACCAACAATGATAAAAACTGACATCATGCAGGGCACTGGTGGTTCATGCCTATAATCCTAGCTCCTCAGGAGGCTGAGATCTGAGGAGCGCAGTTCAAAGGTGATAGAGGGAGGAAAGTCTAAGAGACTCTTATCTAAAATGAACCACCAAAAAGCCAGAAGTGGTAGCCTTGAGCATAAAATTTAGGGGCAGTACCTATGCCCTGGGTTCAAGTCCCAAGATCAAAACACACACACACACACACACACACACAAAACTAACCTCATTTAAAAGTATGTAAGAATTATTAGGAAAAATACTTTACGTTAAAATAAGAACAGAAAATTCATCTACTATAGGCAGTGGATCACAGGTCATCTTTAGTAGATGCAATAGCAATACACAACTTCATTCATCTCATATACATTTTCTGTTTATCAAGAAATCTCTACCAGAAGATTTTCTGCTTATCATCCAATAAAACTGGAAATTCACGATAAGTAGCTGAACGAAAATATCCACTTGAAAAGAGGACACTCTTTTTAAATGATCTTTGAAGACAATTAGAAAGGAGAGGAAAGCTATCTGAAATCTCCTCACAGGAGAAAGGAAACATTTCTCTTTTCAAGTAAACATTGTATCTTCAGGTGTTTCCCCTCTCATCACATCCACCACTGATGCTGTTAGGTCATTCATTTGGGCAGTGATTCCATTAGGAAGTTGGGTTGACTATTCTATTCTTGCATCTGATAGAATTTACCATTTTGTGAAATGTTACGTTCCTGCAAAAGCTGAACACCACATGATTTCTGACCATGTAATCTGTCACTGTATGGCCATGGATATGAAGCTTTAAGTTTTGACCATCTTAAGTTCTGTGTTTGGTTTCAACAGTCTGCAAGGATATCTGGAAAGGCAGCGTGTATCTCAGTTGTGTGAGGTTGAAGATCTTAGGCTGTTGAGACACTGAAATTGCAGATGAGTCACAAGCATCTGGCAGGTAATTTACAGTTGCGGATTGAAGCAACATTCCCTTCCCAGATGATGAGTGTGCATTATCCTCTATTGCTCTCTTGCTGGGCTCCTTTGCTACTGCTCTGTGGAGGATTCTAGGAGCATAGTCCCCACTTTCCTTCCTGGTCAGTGTGTCTGCTTGGCTGGATGGACATTTTGTCCACTGGAACTCTGGTATTGTGAAGTAAACACAAAGGGGAAGTGCTCTTGCCATAGCTTTCTTCAACTGTGTAATGGAGAAAAGATAATATATCTTCCTACAACAGGCATAAAAGCCCAGGAGGGCAACTATTTAAGAATTATTTGAACAATGAAATGATGAGGGAAGAGGGTTTATATTCCCTTAGGAATCTGTGAGTGGCTCTGGCATTTGACTGATGTGCTTTCTGTGATCTATGTCTGCTCCTTTGCATGTTTCCCTGTGTTTTGCTTCATCTGTGTGCTTATGGATTTAGGAATGTACTTGGGTTGGAAGAATGGTGATTTTGGTTTGACTGAGTTTAGCACTTCTGGCAGTTCAGCAGTGTCTCCCTCCCTGGAGCACTGCCCTGGGTCTGGTGTGGCATCAGGTTGTTTTTCCCCCAGGGTCCTGCAGTTGTGCATGGCGACTCCAGTCCCTCCCAGCAGGTTGAGGGAGGCTTCCCTACCTGCATGGAAGTAAGCCAGCAGCTTCCCACACAGATGATGGCTGTTACAAAGGAGACTTTTCAACACTCAGATTTCAAGGCTTGTGGAACAGGTGACAAAGCGACAGATGGAAGAGGGAGGGAGAGGAGGAGTGTGAATGGATTTCCCATTTTGAGGCCGGACTTCATCCTAATGGGAACAGAGGGGTGCAAGGAGAGCCACTGTGACCCTTAGGTCACATGGTTAGGAACAAAGTCTTGAGGGGAAACCTCCAGCTCCACCCAATTTCCAGAGTGGTTTTGCTTGGAAGAGCACTGTACAGTCTGGTGTGGCTGTGATGTCTCTGAAGGAAAAAGTCTCCAAGGGCCTTGTGCAATGTGTGGCAGAAAAGGAATCCCAACCTAGCAGGCAAATCCCAGGCAAGGCCATAGAGCTGTGGTATCTGCCATGGGGCACTGCCATTGGGCTCCCAGAAAATGGACGCTAAGCTGAGGAAGCAAGGGTTGCCCAGGAGAAAGGTGCACCCACCTGCAAACCAATCTCCACGTCTTCTTCAGGCCTTGGAGCTGGCTGCTCTGCAGAGCACATACAATAGCAAAAACAGTGCAGATATTCTTACGAAGGTGGGACTTCTAGGGCTGAAGAATGGGTGAGGTGAGCTGTGGAGGGAGCTCCTGGGGTCCTGCTTTGGCCCTTGGGCTGAGCCTTTCTTACTGGGCTGAACTGGGACAGCTTGGGGGAGTGGAATGTCAGTGGAAGCAGGGCAGGAATGCACACAGCCCAAGTGAGGGCAGAGTACTAGGGGGCCTGTTGGGCTAGGCAGTGGGTGTGAGTGAGCAGGCAGCCACCTGGTAGGAATGGGAAAGGGAAGAAGGGTCCCTGGGCCCCTCCTGCTCATACCAGAGCCACCTCTATCCAGTGCTGCACCACTTGGGCTCTCTCTGCTGCCTCCATGCTGTGGTCCCCGAGGCACGTGGTGATCACACAACTGGAGACCTGCTCACAGTGCTCCAGTATGGGAAGCAGAGTAGGTGCCAGGCGCTCCAGACACTCCTTCTGGTCAGGTTTGACATATACATAATGCAAACAGTGATAAGGGACTAGGTCTTTGAACAGTTTCTGAAGAGAAGAAATAAATGGTCAGCGTGACTGTCCTGAGGCAGCTTCGGCAATAGAGGTGCAATGGAAAGCCGGCATGCCCTGCCCTGCAAGCTACTCACAACAGCCATGAGGGAGAACAGCTCCGCCTTCGCTTCCGGCAACCATATCACGGTCTGTCTCCACATCATGGTCTAACTCCATCAGGGAAATCCAGGATGGCTCCCTGGAGGAAATCTGCACATCCTCCATCTCCACACACTCCCAGGGAGCTGAGTCTATTTCTGCAGGCCTGTCTGCCTTGCTATATGGTGTGCAAGCAGACTCTGGCTGGACATCACAAGGCAGAGCACCATTGGTGTCTTCAGCCACAGGCAGCTTATGGTGTTTGTTAAAGTCATTAATTGGATCACATAAATAAGCCTGTGTCAGCATCCAGCTTCGGAGATGGGATGGGTGCTACATCACGGTTGGGCGGCAGAGGCTCCTGTGCAGGCTGCTCTGCCTCCCCGGCAGGTACTTCAAGGCAGTCAGCCTCTCCAGCAAGCGGGCAAGACTCCACTTGGTCCGCAGATGTACCGAGAGGCTCCATGTGCTCCTCAGATGGACGGAGAGACTCCACTTGCTCCCCAGAGGGACTGAGAGACTCCACTTGCTCCCCAGATGGACCGAGAGACTCTACTTGCTCTTCAGATGGACCGAGAGCCTCCACTTGCTCCCCAGAGGGACCGAGAGCCTCCACTTGCTCCCCAGAGGGACTGAGAGACTCCACTTGCTCCACAGATGTACCGAGATGCTCCATGTGCTCTTCAGATGGACCGAGAGACTCCACTTGCTCCCCAGAGGGACCCAGAGACTCCACTTGCTCCCCAGATGGACCGAGAGCAGACTCCAGGCTTTCATCTCCTGCAGCCTCTAGCTCTGGCCCTGAGCTGCTCACTACAGTGGGTTTCGGGGCCTCTGGTTGAACTGCAGATGCTTCTCCTTCTTGGGCGGGTTGCAGAATTGGGTCACCCTGGCCTTCAGGCAGCTGGGCTTCTGGAGTGGGCAGTAGCATACCCTCTTCTCTTGCATAGACTGGTGCATCGATTTCTGGCTCTAATGCCATTAGTACCACTGGGCTAAGTGCCCCTGGCACTGAGGGATTAGCCACTGTTTCTTCACCTGCTAGAGGACTTGCGTATTGCAGGTCAAGATGCAGACTTGGTGCTGGTGACAGTGGAAGGCTGTGGGCCATTTGCTGACCTGCAGGTTGCTTGATCTCTTTGGTCAAAAATGGTGCAGGTGAGTCAGAACATCTGTCTGCATGGTGTTCTCGCTGGCGCTCAGCTGCTGCTCCTGGAGCTGAGGGGGGCTCTGAGGCTGCAGCTAGTTCCAGCTCTGACTGACATGGTAGTACTGCTTCTACACAGGGTGTTAGATCCAATGGTTCAGGTGACTTTTTGTTTTTTTGGGTGCAGTCGTGGGGCCTGAACTCTGGGCCTGGGCGCTTCCCCTCAGCTCTTCAGCTCAAGGCTAGCGCTCTACCACTTGAGCCATAGCGCCACTTCCGGCTTTTTTCTTTTTGCTTATGTGGTGCTGAGGAATCAAACCCAGGGCCTCAGGCATGCAAGGCAAGCGCTCTACCACTGAGCCACCATCCCAGCCTTAGGTGACTTTTTGTACACTAATTTTCTCATCAAGCATTAGAGCTGATGGAACAGCTGCAAGAAAAGATCCCCTACAGCACTGCCCTCCTCTCAGTCATTCCTAAGGCCATGACACCCCTGCCTGCTGAGAAGCCCTAGTCCCTGGACTCCACCCCAGGAAGCCCTGCCAGGAGAGGCTTCATGCCAAGGCATCAAGGTTCCCTGGCTGTCCTGCTGATGGCCCCATGGTAGGCTTGGAGCTTCCTTCAGGTGGAGAAAGCTCAGAATCCCCAACCTGTTCTCTCCTTTGCCAGCCCATGCTACTCACCCTCCAGCTCTGGATGCTTGGGATGCATGTGCTCCAGCTGTTGGGCCTGCTGCTCCTCCACAGAGCCAGGCATATTGAGGTGTAGATATGTTACCAGGTGTTGCAGGCAGGACGTGTCCGGTGCTCCAGTAAAGTCTTAAGGGTACTCCCTCATCCAGGAGCCAAGTATGAAGGAGAAGGCTCTAGGTGCAGAGGGAGAAGCAGCAGAGTCAGAGGCTGGGCCTACCCTCCTTTCAGACCCCCTCAAACACAGGTGTATGAATTGGGCTCCTGGGCCTGCTCATGCCCATAGCCTATAACGGGCCTGGTCACCTGGCTGCACTACACACATTGTCTACACGAGCGATGGGACTAGACCTACATCACAGATGAAACCACCCCACCCACACCCACCGCCTGGTGTCCCTGGGCATGCTCCCGAGTCATCTTTGGAGTGCTTTGTCCTGTTGCTTGTTATCTCCAGAACCCAGAATCTCCTCACTTGGGCAGCCTCTAGTGGCCTCTATGTCTTGAGCCAGGTGTGAGTGATCTTGTCCTGACTCAACCCAAACAGCATATCCTGGTCCTTGAGCACTCACTGAGGCCCCTGGAATCTCAGGGGATTGTCCATGATGGAGAAGAGTGGGCCTCCCTGTTCTGTGTAGCCCTGAGGTTTCCCAGGGCAGGCATATGGGACTGGGTGTTCATGGTGACAGAAGCTTCTCCCACCCTGCTCAGGCACAGAACAAGCCAAACTGGCTCCCTGGCATGGACTCAAGCCCTCCCTCAGGAATCTCAAGCCAAGTGACTGCCATTTCCCTTGGTCCAGGCCTCCCCAAAGGCAGCTCTCCAATGCACCCACCCTCAACACATGCCCTCCTTCCTCCCCCAGGCACACTCACTGCTGCAGGTGCTCCTGCGCGCCTGCCTTCTCTCCTCATAATCATTGAAATGACTGTATCTAGGGGACACCATGAGAATGTCACACACACACTGTCTGCATGTGACATCTACAGTCCCAATGGTCTCTGAGCAGAGAATGGAGCTCAGGATGACAAGGATTTCCCTGTTCTTTCACTGAGTGGTACCAAGTGTCTGGAAATGCATCCCCCCACAAGATGAAGAGCCCACTAGCTTCCTCCCACACACACACCTCAATGGGCATGGGATCTCTCAGTGTTTCCCTTGGGCTTCCTAGTGAGGTTCAGGTAGCTCAAGATGCACAGATGGAACATAACCACCATTTTGAATTTGGAAAATGCTTTGCTTGAGGTCTTAGTCGTGTGAGGCCTCAAAGTAGAGAATTGGGTCTTCACGTTAGAGGAGGCTTCTCCCAGCTCCGCCCACATCCCTGCGCTCCCTAGTGTGTAAGGTCATGATGTGGCCAGGCCTGTTCAGGGCCCATCCCACCGCTCCAGCCTCAGGCAGTAAGGATGTTGGTCCTAGCATGCCAGCAGTCAGGATCCAAGCAGATCCTCACTGGTGCAGCACATGCCAAGGCCTAGCCAATGGGCCTATCCCTAGGATCAGAGGTGTCACTTACCTATTGAAGAGCAGGTTCAATACGTGATGGGCGGTCGTGAAAGTGCGGTGTGTCCCCAGAAATACTGGAATAAACAAGAATCTCCAAAGAGCAGGGCAGGCACTAAGTGGTCTACTAGCTTCTCCACTTTGCCTCCCTGCAGGTATCCTGCCTTGCAGGGATCAGGAAGGGTTGGGGCTAAAACCCACCCAAACTGGGTGAAATGAGACACAAACATGAAAGAGCAGCACATTGGGAAAAGGCTCAGGGCTATACAATGAAAATAACCTGGGGACACACACACACACACAAACACAATCACATATTTACACCCCACTCAATGTCAACACACATGGAGTCTGAGCCTGCCAGAAGGTAGTAGGTGAGGGGACTCTCCCTCCCTCCACACCCTTTCTCTTTCTTGATTTACCTGTGGGATGCATGTTGGAGTTCTGCTCTGCCAAAAGGGACAAGGGATGACCTAGTGACTTTGAACTATATCAAACTCTCTCTGTGGAGTTTTCTGTGCTAATCCTGCCATCTATACGGATGGCACAGTGCCTGACTCCTCCTGCTTGCTCTGAGGAAGTTACCACTGAGAGAGGGCTGCAGGCAGAATTCAGGCCTATGACATATGATTTGATGCACCTGTTCTCACTATTTTATATCATTATAGACTTTATCTTTTTAATTTCCAAAAGCTAATATACCAATGGCAACTGTCCACCTCCCAGGACGGTGGGGAAGAACTAATGGAACCAGAAGTATGGGACAATCAATTCAGCTCCACCATGGTACTTCTTTGTACCCACTTCCAGGGCCCCATTCCCAAATCTCACTCCCATGGTTGGTAGCATACTCATCCTCTTTCTCCAACATGTTTAATGGTAAGAATGGAAGCAAACAGCCAAGAACATCCAACTGTGATGTGGTGCTGGTGGTACCCACTGCTTCTCCTACTTCTCCAAGCAGCAGCACCTCTGCACCACCTCTGCCAGCACCAGGCAGTGCAGGATGAGCTTCCTTTCTGCAGCCAGTTCCTTCTAAAGACCTGGCCCCAGAGCTTCTGCACAAACAGATTTGACTCTTTCTGGAACCTGTTCTTGCTGACACCTCTATTTGGTACATTCTCCAGGGATCCAGATTTGAAATGGAACCTTCGTCTGTTTCTTTGAAGACAGGCCCTTTCTCCTCTAGCCAGGTTAGCAGATTGTAAAAAGACAGGAGAAGCCTCACTTTAGACAGCGCATGGTGGGGAGCAGGTGGGGAGGCTTGCCCACCTTCTTCAGACATGGCCTCACTGTGCACTCAGCCTCCTTGCAGCTGTGGATCAATGTGGCAGCTCAGTGACAGCAGATGTCCATCACGCCACAGGCCATCACAATTCTTAGTGCTCTTCTCATCACATTCTCCTGAGAACCTACAAACTAGGAAAAATATCACTTCTCCAAGTGGTGACCCCTTTCTCTGGGTTGTTTCTCTCCAGATAGCAGGGAAGAGCTCTGGTGTTT